CTAAACAAACAAACATTGTTTATATTGACAAACCAAAACATAACCAAAGCCAAATAAATAAATATTGAAAAGCAATTTTCGATGTTGATGATGATGAAAAAAGATGATTATTATTCAATATTGTAAATTGAAATTGGAAAAAATTGATTTTATCACCCAATAACCAGCCACATTTGAGTCATATGAGGTATATTCGACAGGGGGGGATAAGGAAAGGTGATGTTTGTTTGATTTTGAACTCAAAAAAAAAAATTTAATATCAAAAACGAGAAAAGTGGATAAAAATCCAAACAAACAAAAAACAGATGGATGTTGAGATCAGAATCCAGAAAAAAAAGAAGAAGAAGAAAAATATTAATATCCATACACCAAACATCCATTCAGCGAGAGAGCAAGAGAGAGAGAGATAGAGAGAGAGAACCGGTATTATATGAAAATTTATTATTAAAATGTCATGAAAATCACAAACAAACAAACAAACAAACAAACAAGCGAAAAACAACCGTAAACAACCTGAAAACACCTACGCAATATTATATTTTGGTTACAGATGCCATAGTGTATATATAGTGTGTTCGACTATATTGATTTCATTTTCTACCATGGAAACGGGATATAGAAAACGATGATGATGATGATTATGAATATATTAATAAATCAAATTGAAACAAATTGCTAAAAAAAATAGATCCAGCAACAACAACAACAACATTAAAAAACAAACAAACAAACAAACGACCATCTGTGTGATGTTTGTTTGTTTGTTTCAGTTTCAATATATGCAGATGGATGATAATAGCGTTGATGATGATAATGATCGATTGTTATTTTCGGCTATATTTTTCCTGAGAAAAATCAATTTGAAAATACATTTCGCCATACACCAGAATAACATGACATTTTTCTGTTTCGTTTGTTTCTGCTGTTTGTTTCCGGAAAAAATTTTTATGTAAACAAAAAAAAAATGTACGCAGATGCAGAAACCAACCAACATGATGAAAGTCAGTTGCCAAATCCAAATTTATCACCATTATTCAATCGAAACGAATGGATTATATAATCTCATTGTTGTTGTCGTCTCAGGCATCCAACAACAACAACAATGAAAGAAAAGATAGGAATTTCCAAATTTCTGATCGATTCAGCGTAGGGAATTATTTCGAAATCAACACACAATGATGATGGCTTAAGACAATATTTTTGCTTTGTTTTTGTTTTGCTCAAATCAAAATGAGAAAAAGTTTTCCAATGAAACCAAATACAGGAAAAAAAAGTACGGTTTTTGATAATTAAAAAAAGAAGATTTATTATTATTATTATTTCGAAAGATCGTTGGGAAAGAAAAAATATTTTTAAAAAGAAATTACTAAACACACACACACAGGCAGAGAGACAATGGAAGAATCTCTCTCTTGGTTGAAAATCTTTTTACAAAATTCATTTTTTGAAACATAATATTTTTCCTGGCTCATAGAATTCATTAGAACAAAAAATATGATGAAATGAAAATGAAAATCACAAATAATCAAAAAGTTACCGGAGCCCGAATTTCACAATAATAATTTTAGAAGAATTTGCTGGTGATGATGAGGAATTGTAATTGAAATTTTATGTGTGTGTGTGTTGTGTGTGGGTAAAAATAGATGCTTCCAGGTTGTTGTTGTTCAGGTTGACGATATGGCAGCCGATTTTGAAGAATCGAATGATATATTTTGAATTGAGAGAGAGAGATTGGCAGCCAACAAAAATAGAAAGCCAGAAAATTTTCAGAAAAAAACAAAACCTAGAATAGGAATTTCAAACAAAAAAAAAATCATTTTGTTTTTCTGTGGAAATGACAATTTTCATTCATACATTGTGGAAAAGGAGAACAATAACGGGTTAAATGAATGAAAACCAAAAAAGAATCATCATCATATTATGTGTAAATAGGCGCTTATTCTTGTTTTTTTTACCCCTTGCCAGCACCACCTTTGTTTTTTGAATATGATGTAAATGTAATGTAATTTTGTCATTGACTTGGTTGGTTGGTTGGTTGGTTGGTTGGTGTTAGTGTGTTTGTCATTTATATATAGGGAACACATGGAAATGTAATATATGTTTGAAAGAAAAAATTCCAGGAAAAAAAATGAAACATACTAGAAGTGAAAAGGACTTGATTAATAAAAAAAAACAAAGGTTTTTTTTCAAATGTTTTTCACATATGTCCTTTTCAAAACAAAAAAAAATCTCCTTTAAAAAACTGATGATGATGATTGTTGGCAGAATAGACAGGCAGGCAGGCGTTCAGGCAAAATAAACATTTGAAATGTGAAACAACAAAAAAAAAAACGATAATAATGATGATTCAAAATGAAAAAAAAATATGAAAAAACCATATGGAATCATCATCATCATCATCATTATGGTAGAAGATTCTATAGAATGAAAAAAATTGAAAAAAAAGAATGGATACAAAAAAAAAGCAGCTAAAAAAAAAGTTTTTGGTGAACAAGAAGAAAAAGGGAAAAAAGTTTTTGACATCTGAGACCTATTCAAATATTTTTTGTTTCGTTTTGTTTTGTTTTTTTGTTTGTTGTTGAAATCATTCATAAAATATATATAATGTATGTAGTGTATCTAGTGTGTTAAGTTTTTTTGACAATTTTTCCTATTCTGGTTTTTTCGTGTTTCTGTTTTTGTTCATCATCATTGTTGGTTGATGACAACAAAATACATATTTCTCGGTGTGTGTCGTAGTGTAGTGTGGTGTTAAATAAATGAAGCCGTAGGCTAATGATGATGGTGATGAAAAATTCATATGTAGTTCGTGTGTGATGGTGGTGGTGGTTAGAGAGGTGTGAGATTCTACAGGATTCACAAGAAAAAATAAAGGGTTGAATTTTGAATGAAAAAAATCCAGATTTTTTTTAACACTATCCAGATGTCACCGACACACACACACGATGATTATGATGATGTCAATGGAAATTGTCATTGTTTTTGTTACATTAAAAAATTCATATCGCACCATCCAAATATCACCACATTGCTGCAGATGATGAAAGATCTACACGAACCGTTGCTGCCGTCGTTGATGATTTTGGATGACCATTACCATTCGTATCATCTTTATCCAACGATGATGATAATGTTGATGATTTTAATCGTTTAATTTTCATTGATTTTGTCGTTGTTTCATCTTTCGTCGTTGTTGTTGATGATTTATTTCGTTGTTGTCTATGATTTTACATAAAGAAAAAGAAAAGAAAAAAAATATTTTAATGATTCATTCATTCATTCATTTGTCTTTTTTGAAAAACATTGAATGACCAATTCAATGATAAATCATGACACTTTTGATGTTGTTAACCAACCAAACTAACTAACTACATTAACTATCACCCGAATTTTCTTTTTTCTGGTCGGTCATCTTCATTGGTGTTAATGTTTTTTCTTTGAAAAACCAAAGAAAAAATTCATCATTCAAACAAGAAAAAATAAGATGAAGAAACGAAACGAAACGAAAATCCATAATTCAAAAGCCAGAAAAAATTATTTCATTCATTTATTATGCTCGCTACATTAAACGAATGATGATGAAAAATAGGAAAGAAAAAAAATTCGTTTCGGGTTAACTTTTGGCTCCACACTTACGCAATGGATCATGTGTGTGAGAGAGAGAGAAAAAACAACCAGAAAACCAAGTAAGCACACACACATCAAAACACATTATAAAGTTCATCAATTAATTAACGAAACGAAAGAAAAAAAGCCCAAAAGAAACGACGACTGTGAATTTATAAGAGACAACCGAACCGAACCAAACCAAACCAAACCAAAAACCTAAAACCGACTTGACTTACGGGAAAGAAATTGTTGTTGTTGTTTTTCATATGACAAATTATTAATATTAAGAAAAAAGTTGTTTTGTAATTTCAAAGTCTTTTTGGTGTGTGTGTTTTACTTTTTTTTTCTGGTAAAAAGATGCAAAACCCAAAAGTGAAAAAAAAATCAAGTGACAAGGAAAATAATAATAATCTTTAATAATAAACTCAAACATGGTTGATGTGAATGTATAAAAAACAACATCATCATGGAATTGAATATAAAAGTTACTTTTGGCACTTTTTTTTGTCTTCTTCCAAGTTCAGTGAAATTCATTTTCTGAAGAAACGAAATGAAACAAACAAGTTACACACACACTCATTCATTCTCACTATCAATCAACAAAAAAAAAATGTCAAATTAGTTTTTGTTTCGGTAGATTCCAAGAAAGTTTCCAAGTAATTTTTTCTTTACTTTTTAGCTACCTTTTCCTAAACATTTTTTGTTTCCATATTAAAAAATGATGAAAATCTTTTTTCTGGGCTAACAAAATCCACTGAAAAAACACAAACACCAAGTGAATCATTGAACCATTCAAATGTAAATGAATGAAAAAAAACCAACCACCAAAAAAAACCAGAAAAACAAAACCAAAAGCCAACCAACCAACTAAAATGATGAATAGAATAGAATCAAGGTAAAATTGTTGCTGTTGTTGTTCATCATAATCATCATCTATTTTTGTCCAACAACAACAACAACAAAATTTAAAATTAAAATTCAAAAAAAAATTCATCAAAATGTTGCTGAAGCCTGACAATTATCCTCATTTCATTTTGCATTTTAATTTCAACCAAAAAATGATTTTAAAGTCAAAAACAACAAACAAAAAAAACAAAAGACATAATGATCATATCAATCATATCACACACAGAACATGACATGAACATTTTCTTTTTGACATTTATCATTCATTCATTATTTCGAGTAAAAAATTTCTTGGTATTTTTTTCAAAAATTTAAAAATTCTTTTCTCCCAGCAACCGAATAGACAGGAACCTTTCAATCAATCAATCAACACTGTGAGATTCAATGAGAAAAAATGCTAGACAGGAAAAAGAAAAATCATCATCATTAAAGAGAGATTTGAAAACAATATGGATTCACACACACACACACACACACACACACACACGACGGTTAAAGATTCACTTAAACGAATGATGATAACGATAATGATGATGATGATGATGAAAAAAAACGGGAAAATAATAGCAACGACGATGAAAAAGAAAATCAATCAACAGCCAATTAATTTTTTTGTTTTCAAAACAGATTTGTTTTGCAAGATAAAAAAACAAAAAAAAACGAAATTGAATCGAAAAGATATATATCACACACACTCAAACACACTAACTAGTTAGTTTATGTCATCATTACTATAAATATTTTTTTTAAAGAACGAACGAATGAACGAACGAAAGAAGAAAACATTATCATTTAATCGTGATGATGATGAGGATCATCATCAAATTATTATTATTATAAAGATTTTCCAAAATGATAATAATAGATTTTTTTCTTTTCTTTTCTTTTCATCACTGCTGGTATCTTTTCAGTTATAAAGATTTATACTTTATACTTTTTCAATATATAAAAAGAAAAGAAAAGAATTATTACGTGATCCATAAGCTCGTTCTATATATTCTTTCCTGGTTGTTATCATCATCATCATCATCATTGTGTGTGTTTCCATTAGCTGAGATTAGTGTGTTGGAGAGTGAGTGAGATTTTGAAACAAACGAAAATTGTTTTTCGTTTAGTCGGTTTTTTTTTCTTCACATATCTAATACATTTTCTGGAGTTATTATTAGCTCCATTAGAGCCCTTGTTGTTGTTATTATTTCATCGACCATCAATGATGATAATGATAATAATAACGATAGTTTTTTATAATAATCATTATAGTTAGTTAGTTAGTTAGATGATTCTGAAGCCAATAAATTAAAAGTTTTCGTTACTCGTTGTTTTAAATAGGAAAAAAGTTTCCGTTTTTTTTATCAATCAACAATGGCAAGAATGGAACGAAAGAATCGTGTGTGTGTATGGGAACAGCAGAATTACAACAAAGTTATAATCAACTGATAGATTTTTAATTTCAATTTCTCTCTGTGTAGATTCTGTGAATCGTGTTTGGACCGCAAAAATCTCAATATTTGAAACATTGAATCAAATGATGATTATTGTGGTAGTCCAAAAACATCAAAACAAACAGACAAATCAAACTATAGTGATTGATCTAATGGAAAAGTAATGTGATGATGAGAAAAATTTAAGCGCACCGAAAAAATAAATTCTTCTTAAAAATAACCAAGAAATTTTACAGGAAAACAAAAATCCCGGCAAATTTTTCTGTAACAAACAAACAAACAAACAACCAAGTATCACATCATCATTATTGAAGATGAAAATGATGATGATGTGCTGCTGCTTCAACGAAAGAAGAATGCATAGAATTTTTTTTTCACTACTCCTTCATCATCATCATGACCAAAGAATGTTGCTAATCGATTTTTTTTCTGTTTTGGATAAAAAATTTTCTTCCCGAAAAAATTTCCCTTCACTGGAAATTCTGTGTTCCAAGAACACAAGAATAGAAAAGAATCCACCTACTTCTCTCTTGCTTTCTATTCTGCTTCTTCAACATCATCTAGAATCTAGAATCTAGATTCTCGAAAAAAAACGAACCTAAGACATTATTTATAATAATAATGATGATGATGATGATAGTTTTCTTCTTCATCTTCAAATTCAATCGATTCAACTTTCAATGATCTTCAACAAGGGAAGAAAAAATTTGATAAAGATGATTATTTTTTCATTTTACTTGGAAAAAATAAATTAATTATTGATTGCCATAGATTCTCTCTATGTATCAACTGTCTCAGCATTCAATTTTAATTTAATTTTCTTTATCGTAAAACTTTCACGAAAAACCGAACGAAAAAAAATTGATTGAAAATTAAAATATCAAAAAAAGAAAAGAAAGAAGAAAGATAAATTATTCTTGGAAAACACATTGGATACATTCTATTTCTATGATGCTTAAACTAACAAACAACAACAACAACAACAACCTACATTTTTTCAATATAAATAAAAAAAATTGATTGATAAAAATAGCACAATGAATTTTCAAACAACGATCGAAGCCAAAAAAACGAATTTGTTCCATCATCATCGAATGAAAGAATCTTGTGTTTGATTTTCAATGACCTCATCACTAATAACAAAATCAAAATCAAAAAAAAAAAAAAATTGGCAACCAATCTTCGATTGGTATTGCCAAAAAACAGCTAAGAAAGAAAGTAAAAGAAAATTACAATAACAAACAATTATCAAAAAAACATAATATAAACAAAACAAAAACGAGAAAAAATTCTGGCACGAAGAAAAGAATCAAAGAAGAAATTCTTGATTCTTTCGAAATAAATTATTTTCAATGAATCGCTAATCATTCAACAAATTTGATTTGTGTTTCAAACTCTCATTCCCGTGGTTATTTATAGCTTTGACTGACTGACTATAAATGGTCTAATGACCCGGAAATTTTTTTCAGAAAAACAAAATAACAAAAAAAAATTTCTACATTACCGATTAATAAATCCAGATTTTATGGCACGAAATCCAGCACTTGCAAGTGGATAACCAAATGTTGTTGAATGATGACTATTATTATTGTGTGGATTATGATTGAAAAAATTTTCTCTTTTTTCATATTGTTCAGTAAATTTTCCAAAATTTGATAATGAAATTGCACGTTTACCATCGATAATTGTTGTACTAACATCACTTTCATTTGCCGCATCATCCTCCACATCATCATCATCATCTATATCAGTTGATATTGGTGATGATGATGATAATGATGGTGATGGTGATGATATTGATGATGATGATTTTATCATCATCAATGATGTTGATGGTGTTGGTGTTGATGATAATAATAATAATTCATTTGATGATGATTTTACTTCTGGTTGTTTATCTTCATTATTATTAAGTAAAAACTCCTTCGTTTCCTCGTCTTGGTTAAGATTTTTTTCCTTAAAACGATGGTCATCATCATCATCATCAATATGATAAGCTCGATTTTCAAATGCAAATTGCTTATCATCATCATCATCATCAATAACATCTTGATTCAATTGATTAATACGTTGTACAGAATCTTTTGAATAATTTGAAACAATTATTGTATTGTTATTATTATCATCGTTGTTATTTTCTGAATTTGAATTTGTTTCAATTTCAGCTTTTGTTGTGAATATTTGTTGATGTTTTTTTAAATCAGCACAACCATCATCATTTACATCGACTATACATTCAATTCGATTGTTACAGGATGTTTCATGATCTTTTTTCTTGTCATTATTAGCCATAATCATCATTAATAAATCATCATCATCACGTGTACAAGTTGATGCATCACTTTTAGTTTTAGCTATCGATTGATGATGATGATGATTTGTTGTTGTTGTTGTTGATGATGATGTTAATCGTGTTGTTGATCCAGCACAACAAGATGATGTATTTGTTGTTAATGATGCTGTTTTTGATGCTGAATAATGACGTAAAATATTATTATGATTATTCGACGATAATTTATTCTTTTTTTGATATAAATGATGGCTACTTTGATTACTTTGATTACTTGATATTGTTGTCGATAAACTTGATTGATGTTGATGATGATAATAATATGCATTTAATGGTGGTGGTAATGAACCAACAATATGTATATCATTACCAACAAAATAACGATATGGTGTATCATAATCAACTTCTAATATTGTTGAAAATTTATTTGGAAATAATATATCAACAATTGATACGGTTGCACCGATAAAAACTGCTGTTAAACCTGGTTTTTTTTCGGAAAAAAAAAAATAAATGAAAAATCAATCAATTTTTTGCTTGTTTCAATCAAAAACAAAATTAAAGAAAAACAAAAATACATACCAGCAGCAAAAACCAGCCAAAAACACCAACCATATGAAAAAATTAATGTTGAACCTTCAAATGGTATACGTAATGGTTTACCGGGTATCATCATTATATAAAGTAAATTTGATAATAACATTAATAAACCAGTTAATTGCATTGTATATGCACCATATCTTGGTACAGCACAAAGTAATATATTCATTAATATCCAGCTTGCAAATGCTAGCCTGTTTTAAAATGAAAAAAAAAATGTAGGAAAATGAACAAAAAAGGAAAATGTGGATCACAAAAATTGAATTAAATTGTCAATGAAATAAATTTTGCTCTGGTTTTAGTACTGTACAGTGTGTGTGTCGATAATCACAACATTTGTTTTCATTTAATCAAATTGGCTTTCAATTTCCACACAGCAAGAGACAAATAAATTTTTTGTTTCATCATCATCATTACATTTGAATTCTTTTTTTTCGGACAATTCATTTTAATAAGTAAAACTTACCATAATGAAATACTTGTATAATAACCGGCCAAACGATAATGTCTACCCCAATTAAAACCTTCACCATCTTGGCTTAAATATTCTGAAATGGTTAATATTGGAAATGGTAATCCTTTGGCTAATGCACGTTGAAATTCATGTTTCATTTGATTAGCTTTTGGGTTTTCAAAAGAAAAATAAATAAAATAAACAAAGAGAAAATTAGTTTAAAATAACAAACAAACAAAAAAGCGTAATGTGATAATGGTTAGAGAGAGAAAAAGGAAATTAAGGGAAAAAAATCATCAAAGGGAAAGCATCAATTATCATTATTCTGCTGCTGCTGCAGCCTACTGCTTTGGAAAAAGCGAACCGATCGATAGATAATTAAATTCAAAAGAATTTTTTTTTTCGTTTTTCAAAAATTCTGCATATCATCATCAAATGAATTATCATTATTCTTCTGTCATCATCATTATCATTCAAGAAGAAGAAGAAAAAGAAAAAAAAATTAAGAATTGAAATCAATGAAAGAAAGCAGAATTTAATTTAATTCAGATGATGATGAAGGAAAATCATTGGCGAAAAAACATCCAGAAGATGACAATGACGACGACGACGACGACAAATTCATAACCATAATATTGATATTGGTTGAATACAGAATATTCTCTTCTGATTTATTTTCAAAAAAAATGGTGATTCGACCAAAAAAAAACCCGAATGATGATTTTGGATTCAAAATTTTTTTTCGTTCGGGTAAAAAAAAGCCTTCAAGGCTATTTCGGTTTTTTTTTATTTCATTTTTTCATCATTTTGGATTCAACCGAACCAAAAAGAAAATTTCATATTTTTCTTGTTATTATTGAACATTTTCGAAAAGAGAGTTTTCATTTCGTTTTTTCTTTCTTCGTTGCAAAAATTCATCTTCAATCTTTTTCTTTCATCTTCTTTCTTGTCATAACATCATTATTCTAATATCCTGAATGAAATTGAAATGAAAAAAAAATTTCAACAAGAATCAAATCGAATAAAATCCAAAAAATTTGTCAAAAGTCAACATCCATCATCGTCGTCGTCGTCGTCATTATTTTTTTTTAAATTTCTTGTTATTTTCATTTTTAATATTGAAAAATTCATTGTAAAAACAAGCACTGCTACTGCTGATTGATTCAATTTAAAGTTTGGTTTGAATTGAAATTATAATGAACAAAGAAAAAAAAATTCTTGAAAATTCTTGAAAAATATTCGAACACTCGAACAACAGACAAAATTCGATCGAGAATCGATATAATCGAATGAGAAAAAACAATCGATTGTTTTTCCGATAGGTATTTTTGTTTGTGAATGCTCAATGTAACGAAAAGCGAAAAATAACGAAACGAAAAAACCAGAAAACAAAAATGAAAATTCTCAGGAGAAATATATCAGGAATGCATCAAATCATCCCTTGTGTCATTGTTTCATGTTTAGTTTTGTTTTTGTTGTTTTGTTTGTGACAAATCTGGACAAAGGTCAGAGAGAAAAGATTCTCTTCATCATCATCCTCATCAGTCTCAAGAGACGTGAATCAATCACGGGACTTTTTTTGTGTGTTTCACCAAAACATCACACAATCAATTGAATAATATTCATCAAATATTCAGCTAATATGAAACGGAAATGAAAATTTATTCGTGTGTGTGTTGTGTCTGTGTGTTTCTGTGTTTTCTGGTAAAAAACAAACATTTTTTTTTGTGTAGGTAGAAAATGACGATGATGTTACTATTTTTAGGAAACATCCGAAACAAAAAAATGCTATATAAATTCTGTGGTGGCTGGCTGGCTGGAAGCAAACCAAAATGAAATAAACAGCCAGCCAAGAACTACCATTTTAATATATGATGGCCACGTTGTCCAATTTTTTCATTTCGAATGAATTCTACGTTTGATAAAACGAATTCTGTCTCTGTGTGTGTGTTTGGTTCATATAAATTTGCTTCAAAATAATCAAATGATGATGAAGAAAGGGGGTCGACAAGAAAAAGATTCTTAAATTCCGTAATTCTTAATTCTATTGATGATAATATGAAAATGTGGTTACATAGCTTTAAGGCATTATCTGATGTCCACAGACAATGTTATTCACCATATAAAAATTAACCCCCACCAAACAAAACAACGACTTATGATTATTTCTTGGCTATGTTTTCATTTGTTTCCTTCCTTTTTTTACTACCATATTTACTGTTGTAAATGTGTTTTTTATGTGTGTGCATTAAATATCTATGTATACATACATACATGCATTCTTTGACAAACATGCAATATTCATTGAATGAATGAATGAAAGAAAAAAGCTTTTAAATAATGTTTTTACTTCCTTCACTTTTTTTACCATGTCAAAATTTTTCTTCTTTCTTTCTTGTTTTGTTCATGTTTCAATCATTTTCCAAAAAAATTTCATTCAAAATGAATGAATGAATGTTTAGGAAAAGATTTTTTTTCATATTTTGAAAATCAAAATATGAAAAAAAAACATTAACCAAAACTCTCGATTCGTTTTGTTATAATATGAAGAAAAAATGTTGGTGACCCTCATTATCCGATAAACTAAATGATGATAATCATTATTATTATTATTAATCGATAACAAATGATCAATATCATCAATAATGATGGAGAAAAAACAAACAAACAAACATTGAAAATTTTTCGTTTTTTCCCTGTCATTTGGATGACATATTAGCAGCTAACCTATGAAAGGAAACTGAAAGGAAATTCTCTATATATACGAAAAACATATCCTGTATGTTTGGTTTGTCAATGAAAATGATGAATTTTTTTCTGTTTTCTATTTTGACATGAAGAATATTCTCTTTCCCTTCACCCCAGGTTTTTTTCTGTTGTTGTTGATAAAAAAAAATAAGGCAAACAAACACAAACACATAATGGTAATAACATGACCAAAAAAAACGAAAAAGAAAAGAAAGAAAAAAAGACCATATTTGTTCAACATAATTCTGTTTACTTTTCTAAGTGGTTGGTTGGTTGGTTGGTTGGCCCATTTATGTGGAGAATATTGTGTGTTTGGATATGTATTCCTGCTTGGCATTATCATTATCATCATCAGTAATATTCTTTGATGCCTAATGTCGTATGTTGATGATGATGATTTTTTCTGTGAGGGGGGAAACCGTTACAAGTTTTTAATTTCGGACCCAAAACATTTTTCAAAAAGATATTTGACTTTTGCATTCGAAAACATTGTATAGAATTTTTCTGGTTGTTTGTTTTGTTTTCCAGATAACCGGACAACATCAATTGATAGTTAATCAACACTTGAAAAATTTTGTTGAACAAAAAAAAACATTGTTTCAAATTAGAAAAAAAATATGGATCCAAAAGTTCTTCGAAACACACTTTTCAGCCAAATTTGTCATTTGAAGAGAAAAACAGGGTGAACGAAAAAAAGAAGAAGACAAATTCTCTTCAAAAAAATGAATTCTCTCTCATTTTGTGCATCTCTTTATTTTTTATTTTTCTGGTTTCTGGTGAATTTCTGGTTATGATGATGATGATGATGATGAATACATATGACCATCATATATCACACATTACAGAGTGAAAAAAAAAGTGAAAGAATTGTTCCTTTTTATTTCAAACAAAAATCGAAAATCCACATACAAACACACACACACACATCATATATACATTATGATAATCATATAATCATCATCATCATATAGAGAGAGAGAGAGAGA